AAGTAATTTTTAAATTTTTTCTCCAATAAAAAATTAAATTTATCACTCATAAATAACAAAAAAAATAAAAATCTTATAAATTTCATCAAACATGCTCTTAATTTAAGAGATCATCTATTAATTCCGTCTAATATAGAAGAAATATAGAAGAAATTGGTAGTGCTTTAAGTTGTGTTTTTAGTTTAATTCATGTAGAAATCTCTTGATTTAGCTGCTGTGAGGTTTATATGGAAAAATCCCGTGAATTAACTATTGTTTTGCCAAATTTCTAGAAGTTGCAGTTACTGTTCACGGCGTGATTACTGTTTACGGTATTGTTCACAGATTACTGTTCACGCACTAATGGCCAATGATAGGAAGGTTTAAATGTTTAGTTTCTAATAAGAATGAAATTAGAGGTGTCTGGTCATGTGGAGGTTAATATAAATAGCATCTTGATTAGGGGGTGATCCTAATGATGTTTTCACTTTGAATTTGTGGTAGTACGGTATTAATTTTGGAATATTTTGATTAGGTTCTTGATTAATCTGTCACCTTAGCACTGGAGTGAGTTTAATGTGTTACGTGATTTGAGATAAATAAATTATCATAACACCCTTCGATTTCAAAGCATGTTTTAAATTGTTTTTGAGATGGTGGTAAGGTTTAAATTGATTTTATTAGTACCGAGCATGATTGATTTGAAATGGAATTATTTTCATTTTCATTGAGTAGAGCATGCCCACTTGGAATTTACTGACTGCTCTGATGATTTGAGAATTTTTGTAAATTATGAATTTCTTGTTAAATCCATGCCCACTTGGAAATTTTTCGATTATTTCTGGAATTTGAGATTTGATTGGGAATTATGGATTTTTCTTGTAAATTCTACATGGTTTTGTTTCTGATATAGTCATGATTACTGATTACTGACGCTCGCCAATGGGAGTTTGCAAACGCTGGCCATGACTTATAGATGAGACTATTACTGAATTTTCTTTTGCATTAACGATTTGTCATTGAACACTTTGTTATTGAACACTTTGTTATTGAACTGAATTTTATTCTATATTAACGGTTTATGATTGAACATTTTGTTATGTTAAACTGTTTATCAGACATGCTAAAATTTTACTCATGAGCTATCCATATTTACTTACTAAGTTATCTCATAATTTTTCCTTGTCCACCATTTTAGGAAGCGAAGTCAAGTCAAGGACGGGGAAAAACGAGGGGAGTGATGAGTTAGAAGGCTAGCCATCTTATAAATTGAACATAGATTTTAGATATAAATCATGATCTTGTAAGTTAGACTTTATTTAGAAATTTTATGATATCAGAGCAAACTTTAAAAATTTATCTTCAGATTTTGTGGTATCAGATTGTGGTATGATAAGTTTCGAGTCTTGTGCATTTGTGGGATCCTCTTACAAGTGTACAGAATCTGTTTCGCCCTTGGATTTGGGTTCTGGGGCGTGACATGTGTTGTGAAATTTGTTATGAAATGTATTAAATCAGAAAGTATATCGAATATTAACTTATTTAATTAGTATTAATGTTTAATGGTGGGGACTAATTTTTTAAAACAACTTTATATGTTATAATTGACTCTTTTAATTTATTTTTTTTTTATGGGTAAATGGGAATTGCATTTATAGTATAGTCTTCTCAACAACCCACACAAAAAGATTTCAACTAGAGAAAATGGATCATTCAAATGTCTGCATCTAATAACACTTAAATTCATCACTATGAGATTTTTACTTAACATATAAGAAAACAATGAAAAAAATGGCAACCCGAACCTTTATGCAATCTTTTAGAATATAAACCCTACTAACTATTTGAGGATATTACCCTGAGAAGATTGGTTTCTTGTTTTATCACATTTTTCAAATATACATACTTGAAAATTATCTTCAAATTTACTGTCATAGAGGACCAATAAATGCCGCGTATCATATAAATCAATTGATGTAGCAAAATTCCTATGAGAAACCTATAATGACCTAGCCTAATATTGATTTTGTTTGTCAACCCATTATGCCTCACAGATTTAAAATGTGTCAATAAGAGTTGATGATATTGACCTATATAACTAGTAGTATATCTCTCATGTTTTGTTAATTAATATGAGATTTATCTAAGAGTGTCACATACATCTCCCTTTTGGGACTCAGTTTCTTAGTTGAAATTTGCCTCATTACCATTCAAGAAGTCACACCGAGTGACTTTGATATCATATATAATGACCTAACCATTCGTGATATTATCTGCTTTAACTCATTAAGTCTCATAGTTTTAAAACATATCAATAACGGTTAATGAGTGTTAATTTATATACCCAATACCTCTCCATGCTTTATAGTTATGAAATTTGACTAAAGGTTATACAAAAGCTAAAGAGGTAAAAATCTATTCTAAAAATCTAAAATAAGAGAAGAAAATTTGAAGAAAAAATGGTAACATAAATCTTAATAGTCATAGAATATACTTAAGAAAATTTTGAGCAGCTTGCCATCCAAGAAAAAAGCAAAAAGGCAGAAGACAGGCTGGGATTTTCTTGAGAGGGAGAAGGCGGAGAGAAACTTGCTTGATTTACATATTAATATCATATTAACATTATATAAAACTTATAAATAAAAGTTTTATTAATAAATTATTCGTATGCCAAAACCCTTTAGAAATTACAATATCAACTGGATCATTTTCCGTCAATCATATTGATCGAGAACTAAATTTAATTTATGAACCGGCAGTTAACAATTAATTGATTTATTGATTTATCCCAAACATAATCACTGCTCCTAGAAGATAAAATAAATATATATATATATATATATATACTGTCCCTAGAGAATTATTGAGTAGGATTATTATCACATCTTATATTGTTAGTAATATATTTTTTAATATAATTATTTATTATATTTTTATATTATATTTTTTAAAAGGTTAAATGTTAAATTTGGTCCCTTAACTTTATGAAATGCATATT